TATCACAATTTTTTTCCCTTTTTTTTTTTTTTTTTTTTTTTTTGGAACGCCATCAAAATTCCTCTCGCGCAATAATTAATTGCCGCCACCTTGACAAATGTGACTCTTCTTACTCTTTTAAACAGTTCGGCCGCCGCGCCTTTTTTTTTTTTTTTTTTTACAAGGGCCGGCCAGCGCCTTTTTGATGTTGAAAGTTTGATTTTATGTTTCGAAATAGTCTACGGACTATATGACGGTTTAGGCTACCCACCCTCGGGTGGATAATTAAAAAAAAAAAAAAAAAAAAAAAAAAAAAGTATTTTTGAAACAAACGAAAAGTTGCATCTTTATTCCTATCATTTGGACCGAACGACTCCATTAATCGTTTTCTGGATTAAAGAAGAAACGCAGTCCTCGCCGTCGATCGGATCAGATCAACGGTGATAGCAGCAGATCAGATCAGAACAGCAAATCGGATCAGATCAACGGTGACAGGAGTATAGATAAATAAGATCAGATCAAAGGTGATAGGACTATAGATAAGATCAGATCAACGGTGATGAGTTGAGATCTTTTCATCATAGACACCGTTTCTGGAGGAAAGAAGGAAAACGGATTGAAGGATTCGATGACGTGCTCGCTGTCGATCTTTTATCATAGATGGACGGTCAGTTGCTACTGCATTGAACAAGTATTTACGGTCAGATACATGCAGATTGGGTTGTAATTGCCATCAGATACATTTAAGTTTGTGCCAGTGTGGGTGTGTCCTGACCACCAAGTTAGAAAGTAGGCTAAGTGTTCTATAAAGCCTAAGGGCATACTCGTACTCTGACAATCTCTCTCTCTCTCTCTCTCTCTCTGCGTCTTTTATGCGTAAATCGATTCTCAACAGTGCACCCCTCTCTCTCTCTCTCTCTCTCTCTCTCTCTCTGCGTCTTTTATCCGTAAATCGATTCTCAACAGTGCACCTCTCTGTGTGTGTGTGTGTGTGTGTGTGTGTGTGTGTGTGCGTCATTTTTCCGTAAATCGATTCCCAACAGGCTGTGTGTACGTCCTTTATCAACGAGTGAGGTAGGGGAAGTTCGGTACGGACGGTGAGGAACAGGTAGGAAAGGAATAGGTACGAAAGTGAGGTAGGGGACCTAAGGAGGGAAGGTTGTAGAAAGAAAGGTAGATACGGGTATGTGAGGTCATTCGGTAGATACGGGTGGGTGGCGGCAGTGGAGAGTAGTAGGGAGGACGGTCGTCGGGACAGGAATGGCTCTACAGGTGGTCGACGTACTACAGCACGAGGAGAGGGTAAGTAAGGGAGGTGGTTTTGCCTGGGAGACCAGTTCGTCGCGTTTCAACCTGAGCTCGTTATCAGACCGGCTGTGCATTTCCGACGCGCCAGTCCGTCACAGTCACCCTCTGTCTCACCCACCCACCTCCACACACACACACACACACACAGAGAGAGAGAGAGAGAGAGAGAGAGAGAGCTTGGAGGTGCGTGATTTTGATTATTGGGGGAGGTCTGCATGTGTTCGATTTCGTCTGTGTCAACTTGTGTGTGTCGTTTCGTCGCTTGTGTTGTTTGGTTGATCTGATTGATATTAACCCCTCCCTTTTTTTTTCTTTTCCTGTTGTCCCGTGTTTTCGAATCTTTGTTGGCTTTTTTACAGAAACGAAGATCGTGTGTTCGAAGAACGTCATCCTCGGCTGCGCCGCTGACTCTAACTGCTACTTTTCAATGCAGCTGGAGTGGAGCTGGAGCTGGAGTTACCCGCCTCGGAATTACTTTTGTCTTCGATTGCCGCATTTGCCGCGTTCGCCGATTGCGCGTTTGTTTCCTCTCCGATCTTGCTGCTGGGTGATGAATGGGATCGCGCGATTCCCTCATCTATGACTTGTCTAGATAACGTAGCGTAGTTTTTATGATATGATGATGATGAGGATGGTCATGCGGTTTTCGAGACCTCGACCTCGACCTCGATCGTGTGAAAATATGATGACGATGATGGGTACGGACTAACCCGATCCAATCAATTATCTTGATTGGCAATCAATCACTTAAAACAGCAGCGGAGTTTTATCCCTCTCTCTCTCTCTCTCTCTCTCTCTCTCTCTCTCTCTCTCTCTCTCTGTGTCTCTGTCTATCTATCTATCTATCTATCTATCTATCTATCTATCTATCTCTGTGATCGAGATCTTCCGATAAGGGGGTTTATATCTAGATCGGATTTTTTCGAGCGCTCGACGTCGATCGTCGGATAAAGTGGAATTATTGAAAGAAGATCAGATAACGACTTAAAAAAAAAAAAAAAAATCATAGATTTGATTTGATTGGATTGGATTTGATGTGGAGGAGAGGGAGGGCGTTGGACAAGTTGATGGCACGCTGCGGGTTGCCACGTGGATTTGTTTCGACGATGACGCTTTCAACAATCAATCAATCAATCTATCTATCAATCAATCAATCAATCAATCAATCAATCAATCTATCTAATTAAGCTATTAACTGAAACCAATCGTTTCGTGTCCTCTACCGTCGCTGCTGCCTTCTTCTGATTCGGGCGGCTTGCGGCACCCAACCGGGCTGTTTAATCATTGGCCTTTTTGTCTCCAGCAGTTTCACTCTAGATTTGTCTTATCCTTATTCTTATCCTTTTGTCTCCAGCAGTTTCACTCTAGGTTTATTTTATCGCCCACCACCTTGTTTCCATTCGCTGCCAGATTCGAAAACCGACAAGCACCGCCATTTCTGCGAGACAGAGAGAGAGAGAGAGGGAGTAAATTAGAGAAAATGCGTCGGCAGGCACACTGCTAGGATCAGCAGGCCTAGGGACGCTGCTGAGGGAACTTGTGTTACGAAATTAAGTTGACGTCATCACGTGCGATTAGTGAGGAAGACAGACTGTGTTATCTTTTCACATTTACATATATATATATATATATATCTGTTTGACGATATATATATATACAAACTAATAATAATAATATATATAATAAATCTTTTGCAATTACATATAGCATAACGAGATTGGTTGAACCAGTGTTCAGTTCGTTTCCCACTTTCGTGTAGGTAACAAGGAGATAAAAAATACTGTACTTTTTGTTGTGCCCACTAGTTTCCCGCCAATTTCAAGTCGCTGACGTGTCCTTGTGCATCATGAGACACGTGTCATGGCGTGTCTCAGACCGTTATTCATCTAGTGGATAAGGTGAGCACCCATCTCCCACGTGTTTGTCGTTTTCTAGATTCAAAACTGGTTCGCTTACATACGATTGGGAGATTGCGTGCTGATTCTTACTCGAGGACTTGAGGATCCTTCGTCGGCTGCGTTTTGGTTGGGAGGAGGAGGAGGAGGAGAGAGTGGGCCCCGGGAGGGGGAAGGAAGGGGGCCAAAGGGGTTAGGAAAAGGGGGGTACAGGTGAGTAGTAGGTGGGTGATTGGGAGCACGGTCGGGATCTCTTTGTCAAGGAGAGCCTGACCGTTATAGCTTTGCAAAGACGCCCGTGACTACCGTTGACTGTCGCGTAGCGTCATTAATTGCAGTTCACGCTGATTAATCTGGTGCATTGTATCTGGAGGCCGGAGAGGAGGGGGGGCGGAGAGGAGGGTGGAGTTGGTAGACGTCAGAGAAAAGAAGCGGCGTGTATCCAACAACCCAGCCCACGTGACTCAATTGGTACACACACACACACACGCGCGCGCGCGCGCGCACACACATGCTTGTAACTGTTTATAAACGAGGGGGACATTTCTGCAATTTGACCGATCCAGCCCACGTGATCACGACACGAGTTCGAACCGCCTGGAAGGTCGTTGTAAGAACGCTAAAGCTTAGCGTTCAGTTTGAGTGCAAACGCGGGGGGCATTTCTGCAATTTGACCGATGTAGCTCTTGTCAATCTTGACGGCTGGCCGTTGACCGTTGACCGTAGGAAGCGCAGTTGACCATTTTTTAAATGTACCGTTGCAGCGGACTTGACTTCAACCGGGTGGCACGTGCGCACGACCATTTTGTACTGTACCGTTGCAGCGGACTTGACTTCAACCGGTATATAACAGGAGAGCGTGCGTTGGGGTGGGTGGTGGTGGGGGGGGGCTCGGGGGAGCCTCAGAAGCATTTGTAGATTTCTGCACTGCACTGGCTGCTGCGTGACTGATTGACTGTCTGTGACTGCGATCATCCCTGTCAAGAAAAACACAGAGAGAGAGAGAGAGAGAGAGAGAGAATCAGATTGCTTGGGGTGCGTGAGCCGGGGCGATTGATGGCCGTGGGTTGTGACTTGTCGATCGTAGACCGACTCTTCTGATTGGTTCACCGACTGATTGCACGCGGCGTTGACTTTGACGTGGAGTTGGTCAACGGCGTGCGCCCTTTGGCCAAACAACGCTCGTTCTGATCCGTTTCGACGTCTTCTCTCGGTTATCTCGTCGTTGACTTTGACTTTGACTTGGTCTAACTCGCTCTCCCATTCATCTTGTTGACTTTGACTCGGTACAACTCTTTCTCCCATTCATCTTCTTGAGTTCGACTTTGTGTAAGCTTCCTGGAGTTCGACTTTGTGTAAGCTTCCTGGTTCTATCTTGTTGAGGTCGACTTTGTGTAAGCTTCCTGCTTCTGGTTTGCTGACAGCAGCAGCGACGATGGATTCCTACGATACAACTGCTGGACGGCCTCCTATTCGAAGCAGCAGCCGAGGGTGTCTGCTGGTCGACCCGAACGAGGTGGTGTTCCGCAATCTCCCCACGGAAGTAAGCATAAGTAACCACGATCCGAAGGCCACTACCATTCAGGTCAACAGCGCTAACCGCCATGGGTGTCTCTTAACCATAGTGACTCTGCTCGCAGAGCTGGACCTGTCTGTTGTCAAAGCGTACATCTCCTCGGATGGTGCTTGGTTCGTCGACGAATTCAGGGTAATAGACAAAAGAGGGAGGAAGATAGAGGACTCTACGCTGATACAAGGCATTCGAGCCGCCCTGGCAAAGACTGGAAGCACAACAGCAACGACGATGACGACGAGCTGGTCTGCTGCTGCTGGCTGGACCTCAGCAATGACAGGGATGAAAGCGACCGATGCTGCTTCTCTGCCGGAAGAGGAAGAGAATCTGCGGATGAGGTATTATTGGGAGGAGGAGGTGCCTCCTTGCTTTGGAAAAGGAGGAGGAGGAGGAGGAGAGAGCGCTTGGCCTCCGTCCGATTTGCCCACGTGCACACGTATCGCTTTGGTGGGCAAGTACAGAGAGGGGCTTCTGTCTGAAGTGGCAGGGGTTTTGACGAACATGGAATGCCATATTGTGAGATCGACCTTCTGGACTAACAACGGCCGCGTTGCTTGTATCGTGGACATCACGGAGGGGGGAGCAAAAGGGGGGGGGATTAAGAATGCGGAGAGGTTGAAGATCATCCAGACGCTGCTGGAGCAAGTGATGCTCGTTGATTGTGATCACGGAGCGAAGGTGGATCTTCACATACATCCGCTGAACGAGTGGTCCATCTCCAGAGAGAGAACCCTCCACCAGCTGATGTTCGAAGACAGAGACTTCCCCACTCCTCACGACGACTACGTGGAGGAGAGCAACAATGTGAAGCGCCACCCCAAACACTACGAAGAAGAAGACCGTTGCTGCCCCCTCCTCGCCGTCGATCGCGACTTCCCAACGACTACTGCTTCTTCTTTCCTTCCATCTTCCATTGCCGACGTCGGCATTGGCGGCGGCATTGGCGGCGGCATTGGCTCATGTGCATCCTCCGTCTTCACTCCTTCCTTCGACATCAAGTCCCAACCCTGTCGTGTCGGTACACCAGACACTCTCCATCCCATCGACAACCTCCTTCTCCCTGGTGCCCATGCTCAACGCCCTCACCACCACCACCAACAACAACAACAAAAACAAAAACGTTTTTCTTGTTTCCCCTCATCGTTCGAGGAGCCGTTCGTCTTCTTCACGTCCTCTCCTAAGATGCCTTACATGGGAATCGACTCTGCTGCTGTTGACGTCTCTGGCATCGACCTTGGCCGCAACCACCTCCTCTTCCGCCCCCGGGACTGCCTGATATTGCCTGATGCCCAACGACCTCAGCCTCAGCCCCACTATCGACGTCCTCTCCCCGATCAATCACAACAACAACAACAACAACAACAACACTGGTCATCCCAGTTTGCCTTCCATCAAAAGCGAGACACGTGTCATGTTGACGATTGGCAGCAACCTGGATCCGCCGCCAACAAGAAGAGGAATGGATTTCAAGAGAACCATTCCGACCATCCCCACCATTCCAGGCCCAACAACAACAATAACAACAACAATAACAACAACAATCACAATCACAATCGGACCTACAACAATCGTGACGACAACAACAATCATCTTGTGAGCAACGACAAAAGCTACCACGCAAAGCAGCAGCAGCAGAAGCAGCAGCAGCAGACTCGACAGCGAAATAACTGTAAGAATGGGCGCGCGACTTCACCGAAGGTGGAGGTGGTTAATGTGGAGGATCCAGGATACACGATGATCACGATCGTTGCAGAGCATAACAGGAGGCTATTCTTCGATGTGGTTGCCACGCTGGCAGATATGGGGTATGACGTGTCGCACGGACACGTGAATACCCAGGAGGGCATGTGTGAGCTGGAGTTCTTCGTGAAGACTCTAGAGGGGCGGATGGTAGAACCAAGGGCAGAGAGGGTGTTCCTTGAGCGGTGCTTAGTAGCGTCTATAGTCAGACGTCGGGCGGAGGGGATTCGTTTGCAGTTGAGCTGCAGAGATAAGAAGGGGTTACTTCGATCAGTCACGCGCAAGTTTTGGAGCCATGGCTTCGACGTCACTCACGCAGATCTTTCGACTAAGGATGGCTGTGCTATTGCCTACTTCTACGTGCGGGATAAACATGGGCGGGAAGTGGAACGGCAGCGAATCGATGGCTTGCTGGATGCCATAGGGAGGGGGATGATCCGACTTGCTCCCGTCGTCGCCACGCAACCGCCGGTCCCCCAGCACGCGCCCACTCCTGCGCCCGAGCTGTCGAGTTACAAGGAGGCTGAGCGGGGAGCTCTGAGACTTAGCCGATCGGTGCTCAACCTCCTGGAACACGGACGAGGAGGATTACACTGGGCCTCCCTTGCAGTTTGCGGATGGGTAACTGCTGCGCGATCATCAGCTTGAACCGTGAGAGACGTAGGGGGCTCGAACCCTCTGGCTGATCGTGAGAAAAGGGAGGGAGGGAGGGAGGGGTTCGAACCCCTGCTATGGGAGGGGAGGGGGTTCGAACCCTGGCTGATCGTGAGAAAAGGGAGGGAGGGAGGGAGGGAGGGGTACGAACCCCTGCTATGGGACGGGGGAGGGGGTTCGAACCCTTGCGAAGGGAGGGGAGGGGTTCGAACCCTGGCGAAGGGGAAGGAGGGAGAGGTTCGAACCCTGGAGGAGGGTGAGCGGGGGGGGAGGGGGAGGGAGGGGTTCGAACCCTGGAGGAGGGGGAGGGGGGGGGGGGGGGGGGGGGGGGGTTCCGATACTGGAGGCTCGTGTGAGGTAGAGGGGGAGGGGGAGGGAGGGGTTCGAACCCACCAGGATCGAGAGAATGTGGAGGTTCGAACCCCCGCTTCGGCGGTTATGACGGGGGAAAGCCTGTCTCTTATACACATCTAGATGTGTATAAGAGACAG